TAACAGCCTCAGGAGTGATGGAGATCAGTAAGACTGGGGAACAGCAGTGTCAGGAGTACAGGCAGCACTGATAACAACAGTAACAGCCTCAGGAGCGATCAAGTACCGAGTAGCAGGGCTCACACAGGGGAGTTCCGACTTTGTTGTAGTACAGCTGTCCGGCCAGCGGGCGGCGACACTGCCGGCACTGGAAGCAGCCTGCATGGTAGGTCTTGCTCAGGGCCTCCACAGCGGGCTCAGTGGACGGGACAAGCTTGTGGCAGTAGCCACAGATCTCTGAAGAAATACAGGGGAGAAACAGCCCGTAGGAGATCAGCTTCAAAAGTAGGGACTGAGCACACAGAGAGAGCGCAGGAAGATAAAAAACTCAAAAAAGCGATTCCCCCCAACAAGACGATCTGGGAGAGTTGAAACCCCACTCTGAGCAGGCGCCTGCAGTGGGGTAACAGGCAGCGCCCCCTCCTTCGCTCTGTACCTCTGCTGTCCATGTGGGGCGGCGCTGACCAGCTGGGCTGGGAGTCCAGGGGCTGGTCCACTGGCTGCTTTTCACCACCAGAGGGAGCCTGCTCCTCGCACTGCCTTCCCTGCCCTGCCGCTGTGCCCTTCAAGGAACACAACAGGGGCGAACAGGTTACCTGAGCTGCCAATTTAGAGAATGAATTACGTGCTGAGGGAGAATGCCGACGCTGTGAGATCTGTTTATATGTAGCCCAGAGTGCAAGAAAGGGATGACATCTTTTAAAACAAGACGTTAAAAGGGAAAGACGGTGCAGTGCCTCTGTGTGTAGGCAGTGCTCTCCTACCTTCAGTGTGTGCAGTGGCCCCGCGCTGGAGACAGGGGGCGCTGTGACAGCCAGTGGAGGGGGAGGCAGTGGGAGGCAAGGGCTGGAGAATGCGGGCAGGGCTGCCTCTGGCGGGGGCGGTGGGGGTGGCGGGGGCAGGACAGAGGGGAAGTCTGATCAGCAGAGAAAGACACTGAGTTAGAACTCGACCCTGGAGAAACCCCAGCCTGGAGAGAGCTCCCCCTCGAACCAACACTGATCCTCGCCGCTGCCCCGTCTCACTGACCCCCATCAGCCTTCTCCTCCAGAGCCCCCAATAAATACCTGCCCCAATATGTAACTGCCCCCCATTACTAACTGCACCCCTGAATAAAATGCACCATATCTCACCTTCCAACATAATTTACTGCCCCCCCTGCAATACCCACTTGGACTGTTTCTGCCTATCCAAAGAGCTTCCTCTCCCTCTACCTTCAGTGCCGTTCTCTCTGTTCCCAGCTGTGGTCAGGGCTGTGGACGCTGCAGTGGTCAGTGCTGTGGTCCTGGCTGTGGACGCTGCAGTGGTCAGTGCTGCGGACGCTGCTGTGGCCAGTGCTGCACTCCCTGTTGGACCTGTGCCCTTGCTGCCTCTCCACCCAGGTGAGGGCTGGGCTTGGTGCTGCCCATTGGCTGTTGGCGCCGCCCTGGTGGCTGGAGGGCTTGCTGTCCTGGTGAAGCCAGCGCCCCCTGTGTTGGGGGGCTGGGACCCTGTGCCAGTGGCGCTGGGCTGGGTGTCCCGGGACGCGGGACGCACCTGCGCGCGGTACGGCGGTGCCAGGGTGATGAACACGGACGACACCATCCTCTTCTGGGGCTGCGGGGCTGCCATCATGGCGCTGGGGGCACCGGGGGGCACCGGGGACACTCCGACACACAGCACGACACCTCACTCTGCAGGAAAACAACACGGCACAGGCTGAGCACAGCCGACGAGCCTGCGGACAGGGAGTCTGGACACTGGGGACATTCAGGCCTTCTCCTGCTGCTGTGGTACAGATCAGAGACCCTTCTTCTTGAAGGGCATCGCATGGGGCTGTTAGAAGAATCCCCCTCAGTCTCCACACATCCACACTTGTATAAGCCTCCTCGTACAAGCCTTCCACTCTCCAGCTCTCAGACCGTTTACAGTCCAGCTGGGTCTCCATCAGCTCTCAAGTGTTTACAGTGCAGCTGTGTCTCCTGTCCAACTCTGAGAGTGTTTACAGTGCAGCTGTGTCTCCTGTCCAGTTCTCAGAGTGTTTACAGTGCAGCTGTGTCTCCTGTTCAGTTCTCAGTGTTTACAGTGCAGCTGTGTCTCCTGTCCAACACTCAGTGTTTACAGTGCAGCTGTGTCTCCTGTCCAACACTCAGTGTTTACTGTGCAGCTGTGTCTCCTGTTCAGCTCTCAGTGTTTACAGTCCAGCTGTGTCTCCTGTCCAGCTCTCAGTGTTTACAGTCCAGCCAGTTGAGGGTTTACACTACAATGGTTATACACCATACTAATATCTGCAGTCCAGATGTGTACAGATTGTGACTGACAGATGTATCACAGCTGCTGTGACCTTGGGCTGCTGACTGCAGCTGGCAGACACTGGCCAGGCACCAAGCCAGATGCCAGCTCACCCCTGGAACACACTTACCATAGACACAGATCCACACTGGGAGGAGAGGTCTGAGCAGCACTGTAGTTCTGTGAACAGTTCATGAATCATTGAAGTCATTTTGCAAAAAAGATTAAAATTGTTCCACACTAACTAGCCCTCCTTGTACTTTCTTGTGTTGGGAGCAACAAGTTTGTAGCCCTATCTGAACAGGAAACTACTGACCACAGCATTATTGATAGCTGATCAACATTATTTACACATAGATCAAGTAGGGAGCTCCGTCAGCATGCACAGGCTACAAAGGAACGGGTAACGGGTTTTATTCCCTGCTGAAAAGAAAAGAAAGGAAACACAATGTTTCGGCTGTAGAGCCTTCTTCAGGTGTGATCGGTTATTGAGAAGGTGGAGAGGTGCTGCCGACACAGCATGTTTCCTGAGTAGCTTCATTCATGGGAGACAAGGGAGTCTAGTAATCATAGCATAGCCAGAGTTCAGAAACAATGATAGAATACTTTATTTATTCAGACACAGAGACCAGTAACCCAGACACACAGATAACAGACACAGAGACAAAGGGATACAGAGACACAGGGATATGGGGATAGAGACCCAGAGACACAGGGATATGGGGATACAGGGATACGGAGACACAGAGGCAAAGGGATACAGAGACACAGAGACACAGGGATATGCGGATACAGGGATACGGAGACACAGAAACACTGGGATACAGAGACACAGAGACAAAGGGATACAGAGACACAGGGCTATGGGGATACAGGGATACGGGGACACAGAAACACTGGGATACAGAGACACAGAGACAAAGGGATACAGAGAC